GGAATGTATACAGAAACGCGCCCTGCTGTTGAATAATTTGTTTCTGCTATCAACATCTCCTTCACGTCTCCGTGGCTAAATGCTTTTTGCTGTGCAGTCTAAAGATGATGGTGATCGTGATCCCATAATATTGGCATTCAGGAGTACTGACCAAACATCAGGCGCATAGAACAATGTCTTTTATAAATCTCAATCTATTTTGGAAAATTCGAAGGTAACTACAATAAAGGCTTTATGGATATAAGCTTTATGGATATTATTTTAGCCCTAATCAACCACATTTAGGTATATTAGTGCACCATCTCTCCAAGACAGTGCACTGTCTCCTGGGCCCAATCTAATCTATCGTGGTTAAGGTGCTCTACTGCGGACCCGAAAGTCCTGGGATGGAATCCCGAAGAGCGGCCATAATTTGACGAGGGGAAAGACTAGAGCACCTTCGTTTTATTTATATATGAAAAAAAAATCGGAAGGAAGGCTACGTACGTTAGAACTGGCTCCAACTTAGTGCGCAGATGCACTCTAAGAAACTTGGGTGATCCGAATTTCCAGACCCCCCCCTTCCCCCGAGGCGTCTCTCATAATCATATTGTGGTTTTGGGGCGTTAAACACGAAAATTATTATTATTATTATTATTATTATTATATTATTATTATTATTATTATTATTATTATTATTATTATTATTATCGTCTGCCTTTGGCTTCTTCGTAGCTCACTTTTTGTATATTTTGTTTACACTTTTTATTCTTGCGCATTTTCTTATGTTTTTTTTTCTTGTCTATACCCACTAGCTCAGACCCAATTGTAAAATATTTGTCACTGTTTAGGAACTTATGCATGCTTACACTTCTTACGTTCCCAGGACAAGGCTGTGCTTATATTTAGCGTCACCACACATACTTTCACATACTTAGTGGGTTAAGCTGTACATACTCGAATTGGCCATTTGGGTACATTTAAGCACATGCAAAATATGACATACATGAAGTAGCCCAACTTGGCAATGAAATAGGCTAGATACAGGCATATTGCAATGTGAAGTAAGAAAACAGTCAATCCCGTTATATAGAGGGTGCTATAAACCAAGCGCTAGCATGAACTAATGTTATGAACACATATGAGTAAAGAAGTGGTAGATAAGAAAATAAATTCCGGGTTTTTCGAAAATACGTGGGTTAGCTTTTCGTAGGTTAGCTTTTCGCACACAAGTCCTTTGCTTGGAGAAGAAAATCATACACAATGTAATTAACTCCACCGACATTAGTAATGCCTGATTGCAGGTGTTAATGGAGGACACAGAGGGTACTTAGAAGCTGTAAGTATGTACTAAAACCAAATAATATGGACAGAGTGGAAAAGCATTGTCTGTCTGCACAGGGTTTGAGCGTACCGCTAGCTGAGAAGTATGAATGTAAGTCCCTACATTAAACGTTCGTTGGGATTCCTAGTCGTGGAACTGTGATCAAGGTTACTGGTTGCAAACTATGTCATCAGTCCTCAGCCAATTCACCCTTCCACAGTCTTACACTATTGATGCTTAAAGGCAAACTACGCGTCACCTTTCTTCATCGTGTAAAACAGTTCTGATGAATCACTGGCTCGGCCACAGTAGCTGGAAACAATCATCGCTCCTCTTGAAGGCTACAGTGTGTTCATCGAACTTAACACGTGTGCTGACATTGTAGGTGCACGGACTCGCGTAGAGGCCGCGCATAACGGTAAATAGATCATATTCCAACCTAAATGAAGAGGAAAATAGGCAGTATAACATCCATTCGTAGCGTATAAACGTTAACTCGTTTTCTCTTACGTCTTGACATATATTTATGCCATTATGATAACCTAGAAGCGACTGTCAAACAAGGCAAAACAGAATTGGAGATCACTATGAAATAGACGTACATGATTTAATATTTAGAATCCTTTCCCCCATTAAAGATTGCGCTACGCTACCGTACGGCACGCAATGAACTCGTGATAAAACCAGATGTTTCTTCGATAGTAAAACGTTCCCTATGACGTGAGTGAGGTTATTACCATTGATTGCAAGCATCTAAGCAATAATCTTATTCACAATTTCCCAACCTCCTCTTTGAAATATAAATTAGGAGACTATGGAGCCGCCCCTGCGTTTACTATAGACGTCAGAAAGAAGACGTCTCACTAAGTGGACGACTTCGTGGGAAAAAAAAGAAAAGATTCCCTCCCGTAGGCAAGCTGGTTGTGCATTGCTGGCGCCCGAGTCACGTCATCGTCCCGACGACTAAGGTTGCTGTACATACGTTTTTTTCTCCCGGAGCAGCCCCGAACACCGCGCCGGACGGCACCTTTGCCTGCAAGCTCGTGACGGCCAGCGCACGGGAGTGACCAGGCGCAGCCCGCCTAGCAGGGAGCCCCCGACTAGTCGCGTACTGTAGTCGCGTATCGCCGGCATTCGCTGGTCTCCGCCGTCGTACTGCGGAGCAGCTGCCGGTTTCTCGCGACGGTAGCCTCCTCTCATATCGCCTCCAACGCAGGTGCAGGGCCCGCTTTTATCAGGCAGTGCACGGCAGCGCTGCTCTTCTTGCACTGCGCGGCCGAGTTACACCTCTTGCAGGCGACCGACCCTCGCTCTTTAATGACCAATAATCGTCCAGTGTCGCGGCACACAGCCTCCCGACCTTGACACCGGGGGCAGTTAAGTGCCGGGTTGTTGCTTTAACCATCAGTGAACGTTAGAGAAAGCGTGGGGGAAACAAACGCGAAAACCGGCCGAACGGTTTTACGCGTGAGTGCGTCTAGATAGGGGCAGCCGCTCGTAAACGTACGCTTGTATATAGAGTAGCTGGCTCACGCGCGCGATAATGTAGACTAACTGAGAGAGAGAGAGAGAGAGAGAGATAAATAGAAAGGAAAGGCAGGGAGGAGGAAAGGCAGGGAGGTTAACCAAGCTTAGCTCTGTTGGCTACCCTACACTTGGGGTGGGGGAAAAGGAGAATAATAGATCGGAAGGAGATAGAAAAGAAGACGAGTGAGAAAGACTAACTGAAAATAAGGCTGCTTCAACGAGGTAAAGTCAGCAGCTTTGTCGCTGTAGACGAACAGTTCTAACAACTACGACGAAAAGAATGACACTTTCGTGGTATTGATAGATTGATATGCGGGGTTTAACATTACAAAATCACCGTATTATTGTGAGAGACGCCATAGTGGAGGGCTCCGGAATTTTCGACCACCTGGGGTTCTTTGACGTGCACCCGAATCAGAGCATACGGGCCAACAGCATTTTCGCCTCCATCGGAAATGCGGCCGCCGCAGCAGGGATTCGAACCCGCGAATGCGGGTCAGCAGCCGAGTACCTTAGCCATTAGACCACCGCGGCGGGGCCAGTTTCAAGGTATAAACAGTTCAATGGGGTGACGCAGTTTCATGCGAAGCCGTCAGATAGTGGCAGAGCGGATGTATTGCAAGTTAGCCATGACAAAAGGCTCACACGTTTTTGTGCTCCTTCTCTAGCACAAACGTGGAAAGTAGGTGGAGCATTGTCCACGAACTCGAACAACACTGAAGCATGGATTCATGCTTATGTTTTTACTGTTGCATAATATTGAAATTTAGTTAGTAGTTACCACAAGACATCAATCAATTAATCAAAAGTTTATTTCATCAGAAAATTGTGGGTGGTCTTCAGTGCTAAAAGTGGCACATTAACGTGAATGAAAGGTGAAAATAGTGGAAAAATAGTGTGACGTTTTAGGTCTCTCTTCTCTCATTGGTGGTAAATATAGTAATAATAATAGTTGAACTACTAAAATATTGACTACCCAAAATACTTCATCACAATTTGTGTGCCCCTGGCCACGTTATGCTTACCGTTATTGTAATTAATATTGGTCTCTGGCTTTATTACGCATAAGAGAGTCCGGCAGATCCATGCACTGTGGGGGTCGATCGATGTAATGCGAAGCTTCCAGAAGTAGTTGCATACACCATAATTTAATGCTGGGTCCAAGCTGCTGGGTCACACACTCACATGCTGGGTCCATGCTAGTTGGCACACAATGACATTTTGAAACATGGTAAGCGCTCGAAGACGGGGGCAAAACGACGACACACAGATCACTCTGCGTGTCGTCGTCTTGTTCCCGTCTTCGGGCGCTTTCCAGTTTCAAAAACTGATTATGAGCCATGCAGAGCACGTTCTGTGGGCGTGGCGCGCTTGTAAGGTACTCTGGCTTTATTTTCAACGACCTAAATTTCTTCTACGTGCACCTAAATCTAATCATGAGAATGTCCCTTGCATTTCGATATTTATTGAAATGCGGCTGGGATCGAATTCCCGATCTGACGCCGTAACGTAACCAAATGGCTAACGCGGAGCGTGCTCTTCTTCACGTGCGTTACGAGAAGCGACCCGCATTTTATTCCGCGAGGCGGTACTTTGCAACGCCTCTCTTCGCGACTCCGAAGAAATAACAAATCGCCGCCAGCTTTCCTCGAATCACGGCGTTCCCCGCCAGAGAATCTGTGAACCAAATTAGGAAGTGGTCTCACCTCAGTGGCCGCGTTCTCGCGCTCGCTTTTCGCGGGAAACAAAAACGAAAGCACATTGGAGGTGAGGGAGGGACACGGCATTTCCTCGGAGAGGGAGCCACGAAGAAGCGCGTGGATTGAGCGCCGATGGCCGCACACGTGACTCATTGGATGTAACCGCATCACAGAGGAAGAAGAGGCAGAGGGATCGCGGAAGGAGAGGTGACCCCCGCGGGAGAAGTCGCGCGCGCCGTTCCCCTTGGCCGGCGCGCCGGTAAGCCGGAGCGGACGCGCAAAACACGCGGCGTTGACGCCCGCGCGTCGACGTCTGCTCTCGCTCTCACAGCAGTGCCGTCATCGGGAAAGGAGCCGGGGGGAGGGCGAAGGGGTCTGAAGGGGTGGCCCAATCGCGGGGCTGCGCACAGGGGAAGGGGGTAGCTCGTCCGCGCGGCAAAGGGGAGCTTTCAAAAGCGGCGCCGGCTCAGGGGCCGTCAGGCTGTGCAGTGCTCCGCGGTGCCGCGATGATCATGCATGCCGCTGCCGGGATGCCGGAACCTGGCCGTGGTGCTCCTCGCGATGCTCCTGCTGCTTCTGGTCGCCGCGTCAGCGAGGGCGCGCGCCGCTTCGGTGGCCGACGTCAGCGCCGAAGATGCCGACGACAACACGAGCAGGCGACAGCTCTCAGGAGACGACGGTGCGCCGGCTGCGACACGGACGGGCGCGTGCAGCCGCAGCGATAGCTGCTGCTAGTGCGGATGCCGACGAACTGGGCGAAGGCTCCTCCTCATCCGAGGAGCAGGACAGTGGTGGCATGGTAGCTGACGACCCCAACGACGCCGCCAACGAGGCCGTCAAGCATCCGCGCGGCACGAGCCGCTACCTGCAGCTCTACTGTCGCACTGGATACAACCTGGTCATCCACGCCAACGGGAAGGTCAACGGGACCAGGGAGGACCGGAACCGATACGGTCAGTGCACGGATGTGCTCCTCTTCTACTTCTTATATGAGGACGTGCGTGAATTATGTCGCGCTGATTTGCCACCCGCACCGGCCCCCACCGAAGAGGCGTCGGCTGGGACTGTCACTTGCCGTGACAGCCGGGATGTGATATCGCAGTGCCCGTGGATGTTATGTGTGTTCATACTTGGCACAGTTATTCGCCGATCCTCATCACTTTTTTTTTTTACTTCCTCTTTGTCATTAGAAAACAGACATTTACGCTGCCTTGACAAAGCCACACGGGTCCTCGTCGGAACATCTCGGGATCTATCAGCTGTATCTTGCCTCTGCTTCCATATATTTCAACGCTCGTTAAACCTCGATAGCGTATCGTGGCAGTTGTGCCTTGGGTGATTACGATGCACATCGCAAGAGTCAAAAATAGCAGCAGCGCAGCAGCTACACGTTCGCAGAATCACAATGTAACACAGACGCTCCAAGAATTCGAAGCCGGAAAGAAGTTTTTTTTTTTTCTTTCCTCTGACAGCGGCTAGTCGGCATCGGTAAACGGCAAGTTACGATAACTTCGCATCTACGTGCCCTCGTGGGGTCTTCATTTGAAGTTCGCCACGACGGTAGCATCGTCGACGGGTCTCGATCGTTCGCCGGTGACCCTCTCGCATATCCCCGGCTGTTTTTATCGCCCTCGCTGAGACTGTACCTCGGACGCCCTCCTCTAGCACGTATCATCGTCCCCAAATGCGAAGGCTCGTGGAGTTAGACCAGTTCCTCAATTTTTTTTTTTTTCTTCTCCCGCGACTTCTTTATTGCTGCACCGCGTAGCTCCCACGTCGTGCAGTGCGGCACACCGACGTTATGGGAAATTTTCGTTCTCCTATTACCGAGGCGGGTCACGGACGCGTTCGCCAACCAACTACGGCACAAAGACTCCCGAATTGCGATTTTCTTTATTTCTAGTAATAACGCTTCACCTCTTGGGATCGGGAACAAATCAACATTCTCGCCATGTGCGCGAGATCCGGAATGACTGGTTTGCACGTGGTAAGGAGCTGTCTCGAAAAGTCGCGCTAGCGTTTTGTGCTGGTCCTACTCGTGAGTTTCTGCGAGAGAGAGGTCCTGGCTTCTATTCAAAGTGAAAGTTTGTGTCTGTGCACCGACGCGTGGTAATGCACTCATAGCCCTCCGCTGTGGATATATAGTAGTGAATAGAAACTCAGTCACCCTGCCTGACAAGTTGAGCAATGTCTGCACGCTCGCTTTCAATGGTGCGAGTAATCCCTCGAAGCACACCGCAGCTAAAACTAGTTCGGCCGGCATTTTATTACTCAGTGCATACGCCAGACGCGGTGAACGGAGACGAGGTGACCCCGATACATTGCTAACCTGACGACGGCGCATGTCACCTGCGCGTGACCTAACCTTAATGCCTCACCCGACCCATCACGTTTTATGGCTGATTTGTGTTGTCACCCTTCCCAGTGACGATACTTGGGCCCCTTGTCAACCGCGAACGAAGTAATGTGCCTCGCCTATATTCCACAACCTTTGGCATCACTCTTGACTGACTCCGCTGTGTGTCCATAGCGAGTTTTAGTATTTCGAACGTAGCGAACGTAAAGACGCTGAGTTTTGCATTGCGCATGAGCAGAAGTTTCTCACGCGCGCTATATGCGAAACGCAGCGTTCTTACGTACGCCAAGACGTAAGTGACGTACACAGTGCTAAAAACTCGCTCATATATCTACTCTTATCTCCCCATGTTTCAGATTGCGTCTAAAACAGTGATGCAATATGTCGCGCATACTCGAAAGAAAGTCTTTGATTGCGGTTCATTGCTTTCCAAGCACTGGCTACCCGTGAGAGAATGTCACGGAATACCGAAGCTCCAGTTTTCCTCAATGTTTCTGGGAGGCTATGACGTCAGGAAGAGGGATTTTAAACGCGTCGGTCAGTTCATGCCGAGTCCATCAGTTTCCTCCACGACTTCCTCTCTCGTTTTGCAAGCGACCTGTCGAAGCGGAAAGTGCGCCCGAAGTGAGCGGTGAAGGAGAAGAGGAAAAGCGGGTTCGCGTACTTGAGTGTCGGCTCGGGGCTTATCTGTGATGAATGGCGCGAATACAATTTACCGACGTATGTTATCGCAACATGTGTCTTGAGAGCTGATAACGATCTGTGCTTGCGCTGCAGCGATCCATTATCCTATTACTCGAACATTTTTTAATTACCCATTTTTTTATATTTACACCAGAGTTTAATTTTGTATCCGACAGAAGCTATCAATGTGCTCTAACAGAGCACTGCTTCGCGGTTCAAGTTTTAAATACAACAGATTTTTTTTCCCTGCCAGTGCTCGCTTGAGGGTTTCTCTTGTGTGTGCACGCGCTTCAGTTCACACTGTGGATTATTTCACCAATTAAATTTAAATGGCCATGAGAAATGTGATTGCTGTCTGAGGGGAATCATGTTGATACACGTACTTATACAATTCATGATAACAATGACTATCTGCATTTTTAAATATTCATCCACACCGATCTTTCGCTTTTGCTTTGTTTATCGTTCCGACGCTACTTCATTTAGTCTTGAAAAGAGGGACGACATTGCTTTCAATTATTTGTTTCCTTGCTCGTTAACTCGACAACTCTTACCGACAACTCTTTCAGCACTATATTTTATGTATCCGAGACAAGCACTGCTTGCATAGCACATGAGTGGCAAATCTTTAGACGTTGTCCTACAGTTTTCACCTCTCATTTCTGTCTTGGTGACCTCGTCTCTCATCTCACTGATATAGGAATGTGATGTGCGCTTCTCTGTCTCCGAAATCTGTCTCCCTTCGACTCCAAGATGACGTCCTTAAAATTCGAAACATAGCGCTCATTCTCCGGTAGAAGAGTATACGCATTTGATATGGTTGGTTCATGTTCCTAAGCAGGAAACAGTGGAACAAAGGGAATAAACGCAAACCACCGCACCGTGCTTTTTTTTTTTTAAAGTCCCGTCTTACGACACTGTTTTCTGCTCTGGTGCTTTCTGTGGAAGTATGGGGGTGCTAATCTGCGCTCTTCACCTGAAGAACCGTCGCAATGGCTTAAAATCATTTTCAAATATCCTGAATGCTCTAAATGTTAGACCTCTAGCCCGATTCGTTGTGTGAAACCGTAAGACAATCTCGCAAATATTTACATCCCAACGAGACGTTCTATTGCCGAAGCGGATAGCACAGTGCTTGAAACATCTGTTCCCTTCTGGATGAGAAGCGCGGTTATGTAATATCTCATAGTTTTGTGCCTTTGTGTGTGTATACCTTATGATGATAGCGAACGCATCACGGAAGATTTCTTTTTACTAGAGTGACTAGATGTGAATCCTTGACGAAGCTGCAGCTGCGCCGTGGTCGTGGTGCGAGACCACTGACTTAAAAGACGCGGGTTCGATTTCGACCACGGCACGGTCCTATTGGAATAGAAGCAAAATTCCGGAGAACCGTGTAATTGGGTAATTTCATTACACGTCAAGTAACGCCAAATAGCTTAAAGTATGCGGAGTCCTCCACTTCAGCGTATCTCATATAGCCTGAACAGCGTTGATACGCTAAATCCCACCAACAAATCCTCGAGTGTCACATCACGCACGTCCGATCCTTGAGAAGTGCTCTTCACCGCATTGCACGCCGCCGCCTTCGTTAATGCGCACAGCGGATGCGTGCGGGCGTTTCGCTCGTTGGGCAGGAAAACGTGAACCAGCGTATGCATATCAGCGCATTAGGCTTTAGCTTAAAGAAAAAAAAATTGAGCTTGTTTAGCCGAGACTATGCGAACTTTTCCAGAATAGTTCAAAACAACATCTGAAAAAAAAAAGTGGAGGGATGCCCAATAACGTTTTAGCGAGTTCTAGCAGATACTCAGTACAATGTAGCGCCTTAGAAGCTCTTATATTTGCCGACTGCATCAACCTAGTGTAAAACTAGGGAGGCAAGGAAAGCTGAAATTTGAAATGATTCAGACAGCATCACTGAACACTGAAACACGCTTAATTTGCTTTCAGACTACCGAGGGAAATAAATATCGAGGTTGAATCGTGTGATTATTCACGCTCATTGTGTCACATGTGCTAATTTAGTTGAATGAGAGCCGTGTACCCACGTGTGCATCGCTCTTCGCCTAGTAATGGGGGCCACCCCTTCTCTTTGACAGTCGGTAGACCCACCGCGACATTTATTTGTATTTTAAACTCCGATGCCAATTACACTCGGCAATAACGTTCTACGAGCTGCGATATCTCAACACGTAAAGTGCCACGCTGCTAAGCTTGAGTACACGGGTTTGATTTCCGGCCACGATGGCCGTGCCTCAATGGGGAGAAATTCAAACAAGCGTGTGCTCAGATTTAGATGCAAGCCGAGAAACCCACATGCATGGTCAAAATTAATCCGGAATCCACCACTCCAGCGTTCCTGAACATCATATCCTAGTTGTGGCACTTAACTTCCCAAAATTATTAATAATATTGTGAGCATTTAGTTCACCCATTTTCTTCGTCTGCGTACATTGTCACCATCCTAATGCGTTGACCATGTATTCTCGACCATGGCACTGCCCATTCCTATTCCGAAAGGCAACGAAAGCACTGTTGCGTTTTCTCAAAGACACCGGCTTGTTTCATCGTTTGTGGTGTGAAACTGTTGCGCGTCGGCCCAGTCAGTGACCTTTTATCTCCTCCTCTATAACTTTCCTTCCCCTCTCCCCTTTCCCAGTTCAGGGTAGCCTATGGGGCTCAGCCCTGGTTTACTTCCCCGTCTTTCTCCTTATGTTCTCTCTCTCTCTCTCTCTCATCGTTGTCGCGTATGAGCATTATCATTCTTAGTTCATCATAGCTGTCGGCTGCCGGCTACCATAGGGCCCAATAAAGGTAATTTAAATCAAGACATCTTAATACATTTTGCGCGCAGGGGCAGTTATAGGGACGCGAGAGCCCAGTGTGCCGCATAAGAGGGAATATATGAAC